ATCATTTACTCACCCTCATGTAGTATCAAATCTGATGTTTTTTCTTCTGTGGAACACAAAAGAAGGGTTTTTTTTTGTTTTTTGTTTTTACGAATGCTGGTAACTAAACAATTTCGGTTCCCATTGACTTTAATTTTATGGACAAAAAAAACATAATGGAATCCAACCAAAACTGATTGGTTACCAACATTCTTCTAAATATCTTCTTTTGTGTCCCACAGAAGAAAGAAATGCATTAAGATTTGGAGCGAGTAAAGGATGAGTAAAGGATGCCAGAATTTTCATTTTTGGGTGACTTTTTTTGCACAAAACTCACGCAAATGTGACCCTCAGTTCCAAAAACACCTGCTGATCCTTCAGCACAGAGCTGTCCTGGTCCAATGACAGCGGTTGCTATATGTGACACCCAATGGGAGATCACAATAAAAAAATTGTTTTGTAAAGAAGTTCATATATAGACATTTTGTCTAGTAATGTACATGTAAATGTTTTGCACTTCTTACTTTGTCTTTGCCTTGTAGATAAATAATGATGTCTGACAGAGGAAGGCCTCTTTTTTCACATACGCCGGTGAGCATTTTGCGGACGGTGACACCAGGTCGGGCCGGGGTCAGAGATGCCGTACCATCGGGCAGGAAGACACAGCAATACTTATCAACCCCTCCGTCTGCAGAGCGTGCCACTAATTTCTCAACCTGCAACAATAGATATGTATACAATGCCATACCAGTACTGGTATCAATAATGCTGGTATCTACAGACTTTTTAGAAAGTTACCTCTGAACTCTTCACAAGTCCAGTCTTGAAGCTGATAGGTGATTCTGGAAATGGCCAATAGAGAACAGAGATTTTTTTAGATGGTCTAAAAACCTATTATTAGTTAAATTTGCCCTTTATTTAAACCATGTGTGGGTTAGGTGGGTTTTAACATCATAAAATCACCTCCCCAGGACCCTCTCTTCTCTTTGCGTTTGTCCCTTCCTATAATGCCTTGCAGATTGACCTTCCTTCTCTCTACCACATCATCAGCCTCTGCTGTACTTGTCTTCGCCTTTAACCTCTGGAGAACAACACACTCATATAAATCTATTATTAAGCTCAAATACAGTCATATTTTACATTGAGATCAAGTTACCTCCTTAGTTTTATCGAACTTGACTTGCTCTCTGGGTGAAGTGCTGCTGGTGTGTTTCGTTGACGTGAGGGGTTTGCCACGAGGGTCCAGTCCTGGCAGAGGCCTGCCCTCCACATTAGCTAGCATGCAGCTTTGATAGAGCTGTGAGCGCACGAAACGAGTGTAGCTGTCAAACTTCATCAGTTTAAAGATCTGAAAGGGGGGAGAGAGAACGGAGAGGTTAGGTAAGGAGGACGCTTCTACTCAAGAGGGAGTCAAAGGAGGGTGGGCTCTTGAGTTGATTGCTTTTAGTAGCTCTGGATAATTGAGTCATGATTGCTGTCTGTTCTTAAACTAAAGTGGTTTGCCTTACAACATGACACAACAAATACGTCTTCGTCACGAATGTAACAACTTATTCAATATGACACATATCTTTGTTTTTACACCACACAAATGGGAAAAACTACAATAGCATCCAGTGTCAGGTTTTTCCCCCTGCTTGTTTGACAGATGCAAAAATCTACTAATTTGTTGTTGAGGCTAAAAGCATTTGAAATTGATTGAAAAAGACACTTAATACGGTGCCTTCTTGCTGTGACTTTGCTGATTATAATGAGAATGCTCTAGTTTATATTATTGCATCACTAACCATGTCCATGGAACGCTTTATGCACTTGGGATGCACTCATGAACACTGTTCTCCTAAACTCTTTTTCTTGAAACCTTGTGATGTAATTATTTACTTGAGGCACTCCTGAAATTTTGTATTTTTTCTAGATTTGGTCATATTTAGTTATCTCGGGACGCTAGCTCGTCAGCTCCAGTTTGTATCCAGCCTCTCACGGAGACTGCAGATGCCCCAACACCTGCGATGAGACGACTCGACGCCTATGAAGAGACGACTCAATGCCGGCGATATGTTATGCCCTAAATTAATACATGATTAACTAACTGTATTTTTCTATGTACATTTCTGAAATGCACTTTCTGTAAAGCTGCTTTGAAACAATATGTATTGTGAAAAGCGCTATACAAATAAATTTGAATTGAATTGAATATAACCTGATACAAAAAAATGTATACCTTGAATGCAATGTACATAACTTTGGATAAAAGTATCTTACCAAATGGATAAATGTTAATGTAAACTTTTTTCTGCTTTAACCCTTAAAAGCATACCTCGGGTCTTTAGTGACCCGGGACCTCATTCGCTACCCTCCTCCTCATTAATTTTTTTAAGTTAGACATCAACCTTCAATTCATTATAAACAATATAACAGAAAAAATGATACAATTATAAAAGAATGCCTATTTTCCCATTCATTTTTTGTAAATGTGGCAATGTCTGACAATGTCAGACAATGTCTGAAGTGACATTTCACTCATAGTTACAGCAGGCAGAAAACAAAAGAATAGAAAGAATCATCAGCTAAACTTAAAATGGCTCAGCAATTTACTTTCAATATTAGAGCCAATTTTTTTATTAGTATTGAAAATTTTAGAGTCACTGTCACTTGATGGTGGATTTGGTAAAGAAGCTGTTATAGATCAAAATATTGATTTTGAATATGTTGAAAATGATAGTTTTGAGAATATGTTTGAGATCGTGAATATAAGCCAGATGCTGAATGTACTGGGAAATGAGCTCTGACGAGGACAGTGGTGATGGTATAAAACATCTGCTCAAACTGAACCCTCCCAAGCTGCAAAAGGCAACAAAATATGCTTTATTTTATTCTTTGGTAATTGTTACTCTAATATCAGGCGAGTTTTATATTATCGGGACAGCTAGAGATCCATCCGTGTTAGATATAGACCTGGGTCGCTAAAGACGCTAATATGTAACGAAACATTTATGCATAGAGCATAATCAAAAAAAAAAAAAATGCATAGTTCAGTCATGAAACTCTTAAAAGTAGCTGATCTCTCAAGCCAGCAGTACAGCCAATTGATTTCTCTTTCTAATCTACACAACCTTTATTCACATTCCACTCAGTAGCTTCTGTGCACAATGATTTTTATTTTTTATTTTTTGGCCATCCTCCCCAGAACCACCTGTCTAAATCTGCTACAGGGTTCTCTCAACCTTGAAGCAGCATGTATCCTAATATCTCTGTAATTCTGAGCATGTTTCAACATTAGGCCTTCGCTCATGCCAGCGTAGCAGATCTAGCTCACCAAGGTCAATCCTCCCTACACTCTATTATCAATAAAATGCTCTTGAAATCTATTTCCATTGACATTTCAACCTGATATGATGTCACATACCTGTTGTTGGGCTTTTTGAAAGATGTCAGCATGAGGGTTTTGAACATCTTTCTCCTCGACTCGTACCCTGTCATCTATGTTAATGGGAGAAGTAGCGTTGCTGGACAGGAAGCTGTTATAAATTGACAACGCCTCTCTCTTGAGCTAGGGTAAGAAAACAAATGTAATATTTACATTTTCTGTAGGAATTAGAAAGGAAAAGAAACGGTGATAAAATAGGGGTTATACGGAGATTTACCTGCTCTGATTGATATGCAGGTATCTTGCGAAACTTTTCACACGCCAGCCAGAATAAGATGTTCTCAGCGCTGACCTCAGATTTCAGAAATGCCTTTGGTGCATACAGACAAAATGTAACGCTAAGAATATGCCTCAAATCTGGATGAACTGCATGTGTCGGTGGGCATGATAATTACTATCACCTGTATTATTATTAAAAACAAGACAATTTAGACAATTTAATTTCTGGTTCTGGCTGGTATCTCTGTTGGCCACCAAATGAGGAATTCACAGAGGTTTATCCATCTCAGAGCTCTCACACCTAAACACACAAATGTTTCCTTCCTCCCCCCCAACCCCAACATTCTCCACACCTCCTCATTTACCTATAATTACAGTGACTCATACCGTGGGCTGTTTTCCTCCTCACCTCCTGTTTTTTTCTGATTTTACACATTTCACAATGAATTGGGGTTGAGTTGCTTGCTCTGCGTGGTCGGTAAACAAATGAGAGCGTCGAGCAACATGGCAGCATCTCTACGAAAATCTGTTTATTACGAAGTGAATAAGTGCAGAAGTAAATGACGTGTACACCGAGAAACTAGAAGCAAAGGCTTATTTCTAGCACACCGCTTCTGCTTTTCTCTGCCGAGTAAGACAGTCAGCCTTTTGTATTTAGCAGATCTGCTTGAAAATCACCAAGAAATGTTTTGAAAACAGCCTGTTTTCAGGGGTGTCTTTCGATTAAATCTATATTTATAAAATTTATTTATTTGCTGATTAATTAATGGCAATTAATCACACTTATATCAATATTACTTGAGTTATCTGTAGGAGAAGTGGTGCTTTAGCTTTGAATTGGTCCAATTGCATTGCTTTTAAAGCACTAAATTGACAATATTAGAAGTTAGTAGATAATTCAGCAACCTTCCCACCCAGTAAACTCAAGTGCTTTTTAGAAGATCCATTAGTGAAAATTACCAACACAGTAAGCAAATCAATATCTTCCCCTGAAGCCCATTCATCTATGATTTTGATGTGCTTTTTTATGTCCAGAAATATTCACTCTTTCGAATGACACTTGTTTAGTTCACTCACCGTAAAGTAGCGTACGCCCATGGGGTCCTCCAGCAACCTCTCGAAGCTGACAGCCCAGCTGGCCACCTGACCCACACCTCTGGTCCCTTCACTGGGCACGGTGGGCAGACTGGAGTTACTGCTGGAGTACTGCGTCGCTGTGCGCTCATCGGTCTCCAGCACATTCAGTTCTAACACCCACGAGACGGAGAGGATGTTGAGAAGCACTGGCATTTGAACTTAAAGCATTTGTGTGTATTGTGAGGGTCTGTTTACAGTTGTGTCCCGAATGACGCACTATACACTAACACTATGTACTTATGTACTCAGCTGTGTAGTATATGAACTTTTTAAGGTTATTTTGTCATTCAACATCGGAATTTAATAGCCTCTCCCCCTTTGCTACGTAATTAAAGCTGCAACAGTTGAGTGCCTGAAGTGTCTAAGGCCCTTTCCCAAATGACACACTAAAAACTAGTTTCCTTCTGAGTCCGCACTTTTGTGACGTAATGCCGCTTTGACTGTCAGGTAGACGTCTGCTACGGAGTCAGCAAAAGTGCGCATCAAGGGTGCATATCGACCAAAAGGGGGCGCTCTTGAGCACCCTTCTGAAACCTAAAATGACTAAATGGGACACGCTACGGTCTCATGGACTCGGCAGCCATTGTAAGTCCACAAGACTGAAAGTACATATGAAGGGTGCCATTTGGGACAGGGCCCAACATTCCACACTTAGTTTTTTCAGTTAATTAAGTGCATTATCCAGGTATTTAAAGGGGTGGTATAATGCCCTTTTCTCAAGATGTAAAATAAATCTCTTATGTCTCCAGAGTGTGTATGTGAAGTTTTAGCTCAAAATACCCTGCAGATATTTGTATAAAGCATGTTAAAGTTGTCACTTTTTGAGGGGGAGCAAAAATGCACAATTTTTGTGTCTGTCCCTTTAAATGCAAATGAGCTGCTGCTCCCGACACAGAGGGCGGAGCTTCAAGAGCTCATGTGTGTTAGCAGCTCCGATTACCTCACGCAGACATGCTCTAAATGTCAGAAACTGTTCTGCCTTTTATGTTTAAACCGGAGTCAGACAAAGATGGAGATACTCAAGAAGAAGTGACAACACGTAGAATGCAACAGGACGTCTCTAAATGGTTAGTTGATGAAAATATGTTGCTGATGTGGAGTTAACTATCTTTAATTAGCATATTCTGTCATGATAATCTATAAAAATCGCTCGTATAGGAAGATGCATACAGAGACGGATGCGACAGCTTGAGCAGACTCACAAATGTGCTCTTCTACAACAACTCTTCCTCTTCTCAACATGGACTGCGTGTTCCCGGGGGAGGGTTTATGTAAATTGTAAGGTTGGTGATGTCACTAACCCCCGGGAGGAATGTCGTAGTCCCTACTAGAGGCTGACATTTTTTCGGGAATCCCACGGGTCACGGGATTCCCGTGGGATTCCTGCAGGATGGGAGTCATCTTTGCTATTAATCACGGGATTTGGACGGTACAGGATAAATGGTTAACGGGAGCAGACGGGAGCGGGAATCAACCAATAGCAAAGACGACAAAAAAAGAAAAAAGTAAATGCACCATTTTGTAGTTTCCTTTTAATACGCCTACAATGTAACGCAATTAAAAAATAACTACACGACCCAGCCGTCCCAGAAGCCATCAGTGCTTTTTGTCAAGGCTTACCGCCGGAATTCAAAGAGCAGTGATGGAGGGAGCTAACAGCCGCGGAGAAGTCGATGTGGCAAAAAATTATTTACAGTGCAAAGTCAGAAGTAATGACATGTCTATTAAGTTCACAGAACTGGTCGGAAAGTCTGAAATATTAATTAAGTTTATGAGAGTAGAATGTGACGGTGATAGCACGATGTACGCTGCTTGTAAGACATGCTTAGTCTTAGTCAAGTACGCAAGTGATTCAGGGACGAGCGGTCTGAAGAGGCACACTTGCAAGGCAAATTCGGGAAAGAATCAGCCAAGCATCGCTTCGTTCATCAAGCGAAAATTGCCGTCAGGTGTCAAGTAAGTAAGTAAGTTTTTAACATGTAATTAAAAAAAAGCTATAAATGTAAACTATAAATGTATTGTTTACTCAACAATAAATGAGTAAAATGCAGCTTTATGTGCTGTTTGGGTTTATTAAACTATTGTAGACATGGTGTGAACCATGTACAGTTTTTCTTTTATTTGCTATCTTCCATTTTCTGGAGAAAATCTAGAAACAGGGGCTCAGCAGCTGGTCTAAAACAGGATGGAGAGCAGATTAAATCAAATTCTATGTATTAACTTAGCACTAATTGAAGAAAAAAATATATGGGAGCGGTACAGGAGCGGGAGTCAGTTTAAACAGGAGCGGGATGGGAGTGGGAGTCAATTTACCAGGAGCGGGATGGGATGGGATTATTTTTTAAACTTTGGTCTGGGAGTGGGACGGGACAAGATTTCTTTCTATGGGAGTGGGACGGGACAGGAGTGAAAATCCACTCCCGTGTCATCCTCTAGTCCCTACCAGCCGTTTGTTGTAGTCCTTAAAAAGCGATTTCTTTAAAAGCAAATATCTTCTTTTGCTTTGAGCGTTGTAACTTTGCAGATGTTGTTTATGCTCAAACAGCAACATTAAACACTAACTAAAGTTAGAAAAGTGAAATCATAATCAACCACCCCTTTAAAGTGCACTTTTTCTATTTGGAATTTTCAGTGTGAACACAATACTCTCTCTATTTATACTACATGAGATAAATGACTAATGAATAGTGCATAAGAACGCAAATTGGGACCCACTTTACCGATACGGTTTGACATGAACTTTTAGGTAAAGTGGATCATACTATAAGTCATTAAATATAGCCTACTATTAAGCAAACATGAAACATGACATGCAACACTAAGGGTTTGGATACCCTTGTGAAAGATAAGCGCACTTCATTTTATTTGTGTACTTCCAATCTTAAAGGAGCTGTATGTAAGAAATTTATTTCAATTAATCATAAAATGGCCCTGATATGTCACTAGACATTAAGAAATCATGTACATTTCAAATACTTATATCACTGACAACAGTTGTCCGGCCAGCATATTGTCATTTAAAAAGTGCAGTTGCAGCCCTCAACTGATGTTGATGTTGTCATGTTGTGTTTTGGTCTGATGCTCCACCCTCCACCTATCTACCAATCACGAAGTCAGTAGTGTTGCAGCATCCGGGTTGCCAGCTCTGCTCTAGTTACCACAGCTGCAGCTCGTCACGTTCCTGCGGGATCCTGCAGCCTATCTGGCAACCTTGAGTCAGGGAGGAGGGGGAGGGGATACACCGCTCTACAGTAATTTGAAAGTGATTGCAGTACCAGTTTTGGCCACAATCTTACATACAGCTCCTTTAAAAGTAGCCTACATTTAAAAAAATAACTGTACTGGAAATGATATCAAGGAAATAAAAAGCCACTTAATAGTACGTAAAGAGAGTACACTTGTATGACTTCTTAACTTAAGAACACTTTAGGTACTTTATAATCATCACAAATGAAAAGTTTTACTTTAAAGTATATCTGGTAACACTTTGGAATACTGTTCCTTCAGTAATAAATAACGAGGTATGGAAAAAAATAGTAGTTACTGATTAGCTAATAGTGAACTACCACATTCGACTGAGCGCTATGACAAACTAATTTGTTAATCAGAGTTTCTTGTTAGTTAATAGTAGTTAGAATCTTAATAGTGCGTTACTCATTTAGTTATTCATTAATGAAGGAACAGTATTCTAAAGTGTTACCGTATATTTTAAATTTGAATAATCTTTTGTTTAATAATATTTTGTATAAGTGCACTTATTCTGATGTGTTGAACATACTAAAGCACATGTAAAGTACTTGATTATCATTTTATTTGTAGTTTGTTATTCTATATTAGCCTACATTTAAAGTTAATATATTTTATATGTACTAAATTGTGAGATTACAAATATATTTTATATATATTTACAAATACAAATATATATATTTAACTTTATGGCTGCCAAATACAAACTGAGATCTGCAATAAGAAGAGCCAAATCCAACTATGCTACCAAACTAGAAGAACAAATCACCACTAATGATACACGGTTTATCTGGAAAAAACTCCATGACAAATTACAAAAAGAAACCCGCTCCTACACCTGGCGGTGATAATCAGCTTTCTGATACACTCAACTTCTTTTATGGGAGGTTTGAGCAGGCACCGGCTACACCACCATCTCCCCCCGACCCCCTCCCCCCTTTTACGAGGAGGAGGTGAGGAACATCTTTAGGGGACTTAAGAGGAATAAAGCCCCCGGCCCAGACAACATCAGCCCCACCGTTCTCCACCACTGCGCTGCAGAACTGGCTGGGGTCTTCGCCAACATTTTCAATACCTCCCTCTGTCAAAACTCAGTACCCAAGTGCTTCAAAGAATCCATTATCATCCCAGTTCCCAAAACCAAGACCATCTCCTGCCTCAACGATTACAGACCTATTGCTTTGACATCAGCAGTCATGAAATCATTTGAACGCATCTTACTCAATCACCTTAAAACTGTCACCACCCCCCTCATGGACCCATTCCAATTTGCATACAGAGCCAACAGGTCAGTTGAGGACACCGTCAATTTAGCAATTCATCAGATACTTAACCATCATGAGTCCGCAAACACCTATGCCCGCATCCTGTTCATGGATTTCAGCTCGGCATTCAATACAATAAACCCGGTCAAACTGTTCAATATATTACTGGACATGAATATCGATCCATGCATCTGTCACTGGATTCACAGTTTTCTCTGGAACAGGCAACAGAGGGTAAAGATTAATAATAATACATCCTCCCCTCTGTTCCTCAGTACAGGCGCACCCCAAGGCTGTGTTCTCTCACCGTGGCTATTTTCTCTCTACACAAACCAGCTCACATCACACCATAGTTCTGTCAGCCTATACAAATATGCAGACGATACAACCGTTATAGGACTCATCACCAACAACCAAGAAACCGTATACCGTGCACAGATCAACCAAGCAGTGACCTGGTGTACAGACCATGATCTTATACTCAACACATCAAAAACAAAAGAACTCATCATCGACCTGAGACGTCAGCCATCCCCCAAAACTCCTGTGCTCATTGAAGGTGAACCCATCTCCATTACTGATACATTTAAACTTCTTGGGACACACATCAGCAACAACCTTAAATGGAAAATCAACACAGATCATATCTACAAAAAAGCCCAGCAAAGACTTTTTCATCTCCGACAGCTCAAGAAGTTCAGAGTAAGGTCTCATCTTCTGCTCCGCTTCTACATGACCATCGTTGAAAGCATCCTCACCACTTCCATCACAGTCTGGTTTGGCAGTCTTGACTCACTTTCCCGGAAGAAATTACAGCGTATTATCAACAGATCATCTAAAGTCATTGGTTCACCCCTACCATCCCTTGAATCACTCTACTACAAACGGACACTACGCAGAGCCCACAAGATAATTTCTAATACCTCGCACCCTGCTCACTACGCCTTCCAGTTACTGCCCTCTGGGAGGTGTTACAGGACAATCGCCTCTAGAACAACTCGCTTCAAAAATAGTTTCATTCCAAAAGCAATACACCTTTTGAACTCTGAACGCTGAGGACTGTGGATTAAGCATGACCCCTTATGTATTATGTATTAATGTGTTTGTCTGTATGTATATGTATGTTACTTTATATGTTTAAATGTCTACTGTTTAATGTAATGCTGGAACCTGTACCAAAGAGCTGTACTGAAAACAAATTCCACCAGCCTGGCTGTGTGGTCATTAAATTAAATCAATCAATCAATCAATCAATCATTTAAATAGTTTTAATAGAAATTACATTAAAATATATTTTAGTTTACCATAAATGCTTTTCAGTACATTTGAAAGAACACTTGAACCACATTTCAATGATAATAGAAGAAATAACTTATATTACATATAGAGATGTAGCCTACTTAAGTCCTTAAGCGGGTCCAAAAATAATCTAATTGCATTTAATATCAGTTTAAACTATAATAAATGTTAATAATTGAATTGCAATTAATATGCAATTAAGTGCTTAAAGACACTACATTCATATTCTTTGAAATTATATAATACTTTTTGTAAACGTATGCTAACTTTTTCACAAATGTAGTTATCCATTAATGGTCTAATAGTAGTGGTGCTATAGCAGAGACATGACTTCATGGTAGTCTGTGTTTCTTATTATAGTTGCTGTTTTTACATTGTATATAGGGTAACCATTTTGGTCATTAGTTGGATAAATGATGGATCAGATGGACTACCAGCTGGTGGGGATGAGATTGAGCACCTTAAGTTTTCCAACAGGGCCAAATTTTGTTTGCACATAATACAGTGAAAATAAAATCCAGTGTACAATGTCAAGTCAGCAAATCTCATTCTTTTGTCAAAGGCTGATTTAGCCCTGTTTTGTCTTTCCTCAGGCTGTGGGAATGTGTGAGACATGCTAAATAAATGGGCTCGTCAATATGACACCATTAACGTTTGTGCGTTGCTAAACTGTCTCAACCCAAAATCTGTTGATGACACTTTTTACAGTTCTCTTCCTTTATTCCGACACTTCACTCGTCACTTGTTTTTGTGGCACTGGTGTGCAGTAGAGGAATTCCCCAAGCATGAGTTCGAGTCACACTTTATGAATAACTAGCATCAGACGCTTGATGATTATACTGGTGCGATCGATGATTGTCTTCACTTCCAGACAGTCACATGACTTTCTATACCTCTGTCTGTCTGCCTTTCTGCCAACCCACCTGTTTTTTCTCTCCCAATCTCTCTGTCTCACAATGACACTTGAACAGAGAGAGAAACTGATGTGGCTACACCCCCACCCCCAAAACCGGATGTAAACAGGTCACTGATAAAGTGATAAACCCAGAGGTATGACTGCATTAGAACTGTTCGCAGGCCATGTGGATAAAGTATAAAAACACATGGCCACACGGACTGCTGGCCTTTGTTTCCCCCTGATGCCGTTGATCTTTCATCCTCTGTCTCCTTTAAAAAAAACATTATTAATGAATAACTTACCTCCATCTGAAACAGCCAGTGTCTGTAGGAGAAAATAAAATGATATCGATCAGAGTTGTGATTATACTAATCAAAAATATGTATGTTGGATCATGGCGTAGTACATTCATCTGTGGTATTAGTGACTCAGTTGAAGTACACATTTCTTGGTAAAAAATGTTGTTTGATTCAATGCCTGCAGGCAATTGAGACACACACAAGCACCAGAAAGGCTGAGTGAAAGAGCTCACGAGCAACAAAATGAGGCACACAATTGGAGTCTGAGATAAAATGGCTGTTGTTTTTTCCCTCAAATTGGATATTAACTGATATTATTGTTCTCTGATTGTCTCATTCCCGGAGGGTAATGTAGTAGAGCTTACATCTTCAATGATCTTTTTTTTTGCCCCCTGAATAAAAGAAAGTAGTTGCAACTCTACATTAGTTAGTTCAAGGCCACTTTTAACCTTATAGTTTGACCTGATATGGTTAAAAAATACTTAAAAATATGTTAAACTCATTCTCAACAGATGCATTTTCATTGCCATATTCATATTCTGTGACAACGCCGTGTTTGCGCACACAGACCTGCACATACATTTTTAGTCAGGCTCTTTGAACGTACCTTAAGTCCGTTGGATATCTCAATGTTATTCCCTTTCAGAGACATATCCTTGGAATCACATGTACCTTAGATTATTAAACGCATGAGTGAGTTGTTTCTGATGTGCGTTTGAGACAGCTCTGAACACACTATAACTTCCTGCTCGAGCAGGAAGTCTTACCATGGTAACATGCCGCAAGAGGAAGTGTGGGCATGTTTCAGACAGAGCTCTTTTTTGAACTTTTTTTTTTTTTACAGTGAAAGCATGGCTGCAGTTCTTCCATCATTACATAATGAATAAGATTATTCGTGTAGAAAAACTTTCATTGGAATTAAAGGATTGTGGATTTGTGACATTTAACATTTGTTTTGTTGTTATTGACATGTTTTAGCACTGTCCCAGTCAGATTCTGAAAGAGCACATGGCAATTAGATAAAACATTATCACTTAAGCAATCATGACCAAAATAGCATGTACCACTGCACTTCGGTTGGTGAACTTCAATCAGGTTTTCTTCAAACACAAGCAAATCTACCGTTTTGAGATGATTCAACATTTAAAGGTCATAACAGGATCTTCAGCTAATGGCTAGCATGGCAGTAACTCCATATGCCTAAAAACAGTAGACAGATGAGGAAATGAGGGCTCTTCTGAAATCAGTCAAAGCTTTTACCTTGTTGAGGCTGTGAGGCTGACTGTCTGACAGGGTGTTGTGTCTCCCAAGAGTCCTTCGTAAAGAGTTGCGTCGAGCGAGGTTTGAGAACCCTCTAGTGATTTCATTGAAACTCAAGGTCCTCTGACATAAAATTCACACAAAAATGTTCATATATTACAACCTCACCATCTAAAAGCTTTACTGTACAATAAAATACATTCATGGTATGAATGATCAATTTACGGTTTCATAAAAATATTCATCGAAAAATGTAACCGAAACAATTAAATCCTTGTATGAGGATATAACATCTATGTATATACAACATGTATCATGTATATAGAACATCTAGTTACTGGGGTGCCTCAGGGCTCAGTGCTTAGACCACTTCTTTTCTCCACATGTCATCACTAGGATCTGACAGACAGACAGACAAACACACACATACATGCAAACATACATACACATACATAGATTTTTATGAAAAAGTAAATTGATTACTATTCAGACCAAGTAAACAGTTAAACATGTCTCAAATGTTTTTATTTGGCCCAAATCCAAACTCGGAAAAACTACACATATAGTTGTGAGAAGCAAAAAAAGAAGAAAAAAAATGAGTTTTCATTTTGTATAACTGTACCCTGAACAGAAAAAAATTCCAATATTATAGTATCATGACCAGATGTTTCCACCCTACCAGTTGTATCACAGGTAAGAAGTGAAGAGGAAATTTGGTACCTTTTCCCTTGACTGGACAGATGGTTTCTGTTGGTGGTGAGACAGAGAGATCTCCATGATGAAGCTGGCTGTGTGCTGGAGACCAGTGAGCTTACACAAAACCTGAGCTAGAACTTCTTGGTTCACAGAAACAACGTGTCACTGCGCAAACACCATAAAACACAACGCCGCTGGGTATAAAAGTCACTGAGAAGGAAAACACACTGACGTATACATTCAGGCAACAATCATCCAGAGAAACCGGAGGATGAATGACCATCTAGACAGAAATTAAATTTTTTATTGTGATAAAAAAAAGTGTTAGTGTTAGTCTCACCCGTTTGCATTTGATTATCTGCAGCACACCTTTCACAGGTGCTTTGTTGAAATTCTGTCATTACCCTCATGTCTTTTTTCCTGTGGAATACAAAGAGATTCATCAAAATGTGAAAACAGCTCTTTTACATTCAATGGCAATCTATGGTGATCATTTAATGTCAAGTTCAGTTGGTTTATGTTTCACATTTTTGTGAACTGGTGGTCTTCAAAAAAGGTCCCTCTTTATGTACAGTATGTCCTAAATGGAGACTGTGATTTGTGGGGAGCTTTATGAAGAAGTTTTTCTTCACAAACATGTCCAGTCAATCGTCCAAACTGCCCAAAGCTAGTCCTGACCGAAAAAACCATCCAGAACCAGTTATGTTTTGCGTCACCAAAGCTCCTTCTGTTCTGCAATGGTCGACACCTGTTCCTCTCAATTCATCAGTGCAGCAGTCCGTGTGGCCATAAGCCCGTTCACCATCTCACTCTCCCTCGCTCTTACAGCTGGATAGATGAGCTCAGCCAGCAACAAAGGCATTTGTGTTCCTGTGCGTCTGAGGAAAAAGCAAATGTAGTAATTAATGACCCTTAGCAAAAATGAAAGAAAGTGCTTATCATGATCTTCACAGATATGGTTGTCACATCTCCTCAAAATAAATATTGAATAATGAGTATAAGTGTGTTGTTTTAGAATGAGAGTGATGCCCTTAAATAGGATATAGTCACATGAGCTAACTGCTTAATATTTAAAATTAGTGGAGCTTGCAGAAATGTTTATATGAAGAATAACCATAGAGAAACATAGTCTAGTCTAGTTAATTTTATGAGAATTTTTGTTTGGTATCTTGTCACAAGAGTTTTCAAACTTTTTGATTCCACAGAACCCCAAATATTATGATTGTGAATGATTATCATGATTATATAATTATTTTATGATTGCAAAATATAAAATATAAAGCCTGCTATATGCTACTCTCAATGCTGTGGTGGATCAGCGCTTTGGGAAAACATCTTTGTTTGACCGGTTGTGAACACTTGTGTCACAGTCACCAGCTCAGTCACTAAGTCTGTAACCTGTCTGCACTACACTTCCCAGCATCCCTTCTGGTCCCCACCTGCACTCAGTCAGCCATCACCACACACCTGCTGCTGATCATCACCAGATACTGATTCCCCGTCCCTGCACTCCCTCATCAACACAGCCTATATCAACCTGCATCCCCCTCATATCAGTGTCTGGTCTCATCATCGTTACTACGAACGTAACTGCTACGTAAACAGTCAGACTTCTTACCTGAACACTCACCTAATGCCTGGTTCAGATTACACGATTTTAGCCCGATTTTGGCACGATCCGTTTGACGTTGAGTGTCATGGGGATTCGTAAACGACAACATGCGTCGGGACGCAAGATTCGATCGTATCATCTCGTATAGTGTGTCATAGTGGGCGACAACTTACGTCGCGTCTGCGATGCTTCAGGACAAAAAGACTAGCATGTTTAACCCACTGGGGTCCTTCATTTCAGAGTCACACTCAGGACCTTCGGGTCCAAATGGGCCGGAAGGGTGGGATTCATATTTATTAAAAAAAATCTTTTTTTTTTTCTTTTTTTACTTGTTTTTTTTATAATATTTTTTCGTTTCTTTTTTGGTGTTTTGAGATAATTTCAAAAATAAAAATGATTTATAATTAATATTAATGCAATAATTATGACCCATTTTTTCCCCATTGAATATAATAGAAATTTAAAAAATATATAGGCCTATATATATATATATATATATATATTTTCTTTTTTTAAAGCTGTATTTCATTTTAGAGTCAAGCCTAGGCCTCATGAAAGCAATTTTTGAAATGAGATGGATGCCATCTGGTGGACAAACTGAGCATTTAAAAAATTCAAAACCCATATGTAATCTGAATTTATTAGTGTGTATGTGTATAAAAGTGTGTTTGTGTGTGTGTGGATGTGTCTGTTTTGCACTCTTGATGTTTTATAGATTCACCCCTTCACTGTTGTGTGCTTTTTTTCTGGAACGTGGCTGATTTGTAGATTGTACGCACAAAATAACTCTGTATTTTCACATTTTTGCCAATTTCCCATTCATTACCTATGCGGGTCCATTTGGAGTGTGACTATTTTTTTTACAACCACTTAGACTATTCAAATCCTGTCCCCAAATTTTTTTTTTTGGGTGTTCATATGCCAAGTACCAACAAAGTCACCAAATTTCGGACCATTCCGATAAAGCTATGATTAAAAAAATATATATATATTTAAATGCTTCGGGTCCATTTGGGCCGAAGGACCCCAGAGGGTTACATTTTTTTAACGGTCGTCCACGACGGGTTCCGTCACATGTATGAGGTTGACCAATAGGAGCACAGAAGCTTTTCCGTACACAACTTTCAAAAATGGCGAAACGAAAGAGAGACGATTGTGCTACTAGGTGGAGTTATGACATGGAGGAAAGGTTCGTGGAGCTGTGGCAACAGTAACAGAAAACAATATTTTACCTCAAGTTCTCTTTGGAGGATTGACAGCCCATACTGTCCTCTTCGAGCAATCCAGGAACGTGTCCATTGTCGGGTTTTCTTTCTTTTTTTTACGTTTTTCTGAACACATGACAGCCAACACTCACTGCTTCATCCATTGTTTGTTTACGTTCGTTTCCGGAAGTCACTCACTCGCTACTAGTTTTGCCTTCTCGATGACATCACGCGCGTCGTTAAAGACGGCACGCGATGACTGGTCAGGAAGCAACGTGTAGTCTGACATGTTTCTTGTCCACGACACGATAAGATTTTAGGAGTCAAAATCACGTAATCTGACACAGTGACTATCGTAACAGACAAAAAAAAAATCGTGTAATCTGAACCAGGTATAAGTGAGTCAAGTGTCCTGTCTTCTGTGCGTCATCCCGATGCAGATCTCCAGTCATCGTGTTCATCCTTCACCTGCACAGAGAATCTAATTCTGTCATCACTATAGCTAAGTCTCCATGAATATTCGTCAAGTCACCATCCTCTCACCATCGTCTGGTTCCCGCTGTTGTCCCATCACTCTGCTCAATAAACACTGTTTTCACCTCACCATCTGTCTGTTCCCTTCTGTGAGTGTGATAACGTGTGGCAAACATGCATAGAATTTGGCTTAAATAACCTCTGACGATGACGTCATTGGAATGCGCACGTCAGAGGCTATAAATAGACGTTTGACAGGTGTGCTTTCAGGTTCCTTTGTCTTCAGAACCGCATTGTGTGCCGTGCCGTGTGTGCTGAAAACTTTCTCTCTCAAACTATACCCTTTGTTAGGAGTTAGTTTTGCCAGCAGGCAGGAATAAAGACTTTTATTACTCCTTTTCTTTTTCTCTCTAAACGAAAAGAAAAGAGTTGAAAAAAAGAGAAGCATGTCAAGTGAATCCAGTAAGAGATGCGTGCCGCCCTGCTCACAGCCCATCTCAGAGGATGATCCGCATGATTTCTGTATCTTGTGTCTGGGGGAACATCACGCTGTATCAGCCCTCGAGGACGCAGTGTGAGCACTGCGATTTATTCTCTGTCAAAGGGCTCCATGCCAGGCGCGCATTCTTGCGGGAAGAGCAAGCCTGCGTGTCCTCGATTGCAAGATCATGGGGCTCGCGTGTCGATTTGGCTGAAGGGCCTCCCCTTTCTCTTGTTCTCTCACCACTTCGTGAGGTCCTCGAGCCTGCTTCTGGAGCGGCGCCTCTTTAGACCGGTCTAAGGACACTAGTTCTCGTGTGGAGATGGATTTCTAGTGTACTGCCTCCGAGCGTTCCTGTCGTGACGAGAGATCTTACTTGAGGTAGTCACTCGCACTGTGGACAGTCTTCATTTAGACTGGCCAAAGGAACAAGAGACCCCCAGACGATACAAGTTAGACGACAGATTTCTGTCGGGTGGCCACAGGGAGGCATCAGAGAGATGGACTCTCCCCTTCTTTCTAGATCTCCATGATGAATTACTTAAATCATGGAACAAACCTTATTCTTCCCGTGTCTTTGTGCCCGTGACGTTGGTATATTCAACTATTGTTGGTGCAAAGGCAAAGGGTTATACGATGATCCCCTCGCTTGAAGAGATGCCCCTGGCAGTGTATCATCACTCAAAAAGCCTGCACTTCCCTCCATATCATGCAGAATTACATCTATGCTGGTAGGGAAAGCTTATTAGGCGGCAGGTCAGCCTGGTGCTGCCCCACACTATGTTGCAGGCATACCAGGCTGACCTGCTTAAAGAACTGGGCACGGACGGGGGAAACGTCAGTGAGGAGGTGTTTTCTGAGCTGCGCCAAACCACAGATCTGTCTCTACCCGTGACTAAGCAAACGGCCCATGCCATCGGCTTTCCGGCCTATTCGGTGACTCAGTCAAATACTGTCGTCCGGGAGGTTAAAGGCATGAGGAGGCTTTTGACAAGTTCCTCCCACGCCGTGCCCAAGGTTTGGGGCTGTCGGCCACCCAGCCGGTCGCGAAGCACTCCACCAAAAAAGTAGCTGGACCTCCCACGTCATGCCCAAGGTTTGGGGCTGTCGGCCACCCAGCTTGTCGCGAAGCGCTCCAACAAAAAAGTAGCTGGACCGGAAAAGAAAAAGAAGTTCTGAGGCTTGCGCCCAGGACCAAGAGGGTGTGCCCCCTGGGAAGGGGTGCATAAAAATACATCATCAAAAACGAGCTCCTTCTCGACACCCTCACACCGCTGTTTCCTCCCCACCACCTCCGGTTTCAGGGGGCAGCGGTTTCCAGCGAAATGTTAAATGTTCAGTTGCTTCCTGCCTTGAATCTAATCTCTATGCTCTCCAGGAAAATTATATTAATGAGATCTCATTTATGATTTTGTTCTTTCCTAAGGGATCAATTAATATTAAATGAGTCTACACATATGTGACTAGTAGACTAATGTAATCATGAAGACTCAAAGTAATGTAATTATTGCTAATGATGGCATAATTAACATGCAAGACAGTTTTGGAAATGACAGAGACACTATCATCATAGAATGAGTAATATCTCTCAAAGTTTTGTTGGAGTTTGTTGGTCATTCAGTAATTGGTTCCTAATCCCCCAGAATATTATGGAATCCCTACAGGAGCAAACAGCCATCAATAGAGTACAGTACATCTGCAGAGCAATGATAAGGACCCTCGGGATGCACAAGGAAACTCACCATTGTGAGTCTGGATTCTGACTGCACTGTGGATAGAGATGCCCCCCAACTGCTTTCATTAACAGGGAGAAAGGAACATTGTGGCTCTTCGGTGTAATACAAAGGGAGGGAAGGGCTGTTTTTAAACCCCAGGAAGTGTTCCTTCAAGGGAATGATGAAGTCTTGATGTTGACATCTATTATAAGCTACTGCTACAGAAACAGATCTGAAGCCAGCTTGTATATACTGAGGTCTTATACAGGAAGCTAAAGTAGCTTTAAAAATTAAATATGAAGTAGAATCTTGCACATAAAGACTCTCTATGTCAAGGTCTGCAGGAGAACCACATATGCAGGGAGATAATAGTTTTTGACACAGGAAATATAGGGGAAATGTTTGTTGGTTTATTTCAATGCAGGATTATTATTTGACAGTTAACCGGAAACTAAAGACACAAAAATGGCATTAGGGGGAGGGGACAACATACTGAAGACAAAAAGGGAGCAAAGAGAGTCTCAGAAGCCTATCCTAAAGCAGGTGGTGGTTAAGGATAATCCAGGTAAGTCTTTAATGCTGGAGATGTGCTGGAGGAGACGAGTGGAGGGGTGGCGGGCGGAGAGATTGCTAATTGTGTCCTACTAATCCAACCCCTCCCCCATCTTTACCCACCTCCACATCCTCCCCTGTCACATATGAGGAAGGCCAGGAACGTAGAGAAGCAAAGGTACTGCACACTACGAAGTGAAGAACACGTATTCTGAGGGAAGAGGACTCAAGAAACAGTGGACCAATAAGAAAACCCAACACTTAACTGGATATATCCCACATAGAATGTAGCTGCACCTTTCCATCTCTTTCTGCATCCTCTTTCTACCACGAAATTCACGGCACTATGGGAGAAGTCCAAAAGGTAAATGTTTCGATCTGCTTGAAGGGCCTATTTGGAAATTCTTCGGAACAAAGAATAGTTAATGAATGTTATACACATCGTTGTGATGGATGTACCTGAAACTTGATATTAAACTATTTAATCAGATATTTTAGGCACAAATGTTTGTTTTCAAGGGTTTGTTTTCAGTCATTGAGAAGTTAAAGGGCACTACAGAGCAAGAGCTTCGGATAGTCCTTCTCGGTCTGGATAATGCTGGAAAAACCACTTTGTTAAAACAACTTGCCTCCGAAGATGTGAACACCATCACCCCGACTCAGGTGAGAAGGGCAGCTTTGAGGGGCTTTCAAAGCTTTGGATTTTTTACACTTTCTTAATATGCTAGATCAAAAAAAAGGCTTACAACTTTTGACAATTAAGACACATGTGGTTATGAAAGCAGCGACAGCCCTCTGACATTACAGAATGTACGTTTAGTGCTTATCCAACTATTAAAGGATGTGTTATGACTTGCAAAACACGAGTAATTCAGACTAATTTGTTGAGGTGTGAAGTTACTAGAGGCAGGCTAACACATTTATTGTGCTTTTTTAGTGTTTAACAAATCCAGCAGAAATATTTTCAAAGCCTTCGACAGTTACGCTTCAGTTTAAATACAACAGTGAATTGGAAATGTTCATTCTGAAGTCATTCTTTGCCATAAAACCAATGTGTATCTTTAGCTGCATCGTGGATAACACTAGACTGTAAAACCAAAATGGAGGAATCAGGTTAATAATCAGTGATAAAAAGGGCAGACTGTGGACAAATACTACTGTGAAAAAACCCCTTCAAAAGGTCTTTGACAATGGGGGTAACTTTTTGGTGGTTTAAGAAATGTGTAATTATGTAAATGAGTATACAGTGTGTGTGTGTGTGTGTGTGTGTACTGTATACATGTGTGTGTATATATATATAATTTCATACAATTTTATAAAGTATATAGTCTCAAATATGAGAAATAAACTGAACAGTATGAGAAATAAATTCACAATTGCGAGATATATCACATTAAGACGTATCAAGTCAAATAGTGAGATTTAAAGTCACAATCATGATAAATAAAGTCTCATTTACCTTTGTTTTAGTCTAAGGTGCAAACAGACTTCTATTAGGAAAATATATACAAGTTCTTATATACTATTGCTAATATTGTAATTAAAATTAAAATATAAAAGAAAAGTAGTATTAAAGGGTTAGTTCACCCAAAAATAAAAATTCTGTCAGTAATTACTCACCCTCATGTCGTTCCAACCCCGTAAGACTTTCGTTCATCTTCGGAACACAAATTAAGATATTTTTGATGAAATCTGAGAGCTGTCTCACTCCTTCATAGGTCATAGAAAAGTTAGTAAAGACATCGTTAAAATAGTTCAAGTGACTACAGTGGCTCAACCTTAAGTTTATCAAGCGACTAGAATACTTTTTGTGCGCAAAAATAACGAGTTTATTCAACTATTAATTTTCTTCTGTGTGGGCCTCTGACGTGGCGTAACGATAAATTATATAATTAATTTAGTAAATCTTTAAATCCCAGGCAAAACACATAATTTTTATTCATTTATTTATTTCAAGCAAATAGAGTAACAACAGAAAAGATACACAATAATAATAATAATAACTTATACACTTATGCTTGAAATGGAGTGGGGAGAAGTAAAACTTATTGAACCCCACCCCATAATAATATAATAAATATTTGCAATTTATCATTATGGAGTGGGGAGAAGTAAAACTTATTGAACCCCACCCCATAATAATATAATAAATATTTGCAATTTATCATTTGTAGAAAATGTATTTTGTCAGAATACACGGCTTCATTTAAGTCTGAGGTAAGAACCACTTCCATTTAGAAACTATGTACTAATTTAACCTTCAAGAGTTTAACTGATTGCTAAATGTCAGTTGTTTCAGTTGTTATAAAAAAAACAATCTTGCCCTTTGTTCGCCTATATAGATATATGTGGTTCAACAATTGTACGACTTGTATAATACAACACTGTCGCATGACGAAAGCGACCCACTAGATGTTGAGGTCTACCTACAACCCACAGAGACAAACAAAAAAGCACCCATACAACTGCTAGGAAACCATTTGAAGGTGGTGACTGTCCTAGAGAGAACTACTATCCAAATAAATGATATAAATAGACATGATGGCATCTCAAACTTCCAAGAAAGTTTCAGTTAATAGGATCAAATGTGATCAGTCTGGTTTACTGTTGAGGGGTCAGAGATAGAGCATGTCATGACTGTGTGTATTAGTGCTGGTTATTAGCATGAAATCAGCCACAGAGAATGCATCTGACGTAAAAAATTAATTAATGTCAATTATAATTTTTTTTACATTTATCTACCCTTGACTGACAGTATTGTCAATCAGTGAATTTGTACAGTGGATGCAATTGATGGCTGTTGACACAACATTCAGCATGGAATATTTTGGACTCCGCTGTGCACAGCTTGCTAACAGTTAAGATGTTGGCACACTGTTGCTAGATTACTTCAAATATCCTGGGACCTGAGTAATGTGAGACTATTTGCTGTTTAGCACGAGTTTTGTTAACAGCCATTATATGTTGCAGCCAGTTAAAGCTGTAAAGAGCCGAGGCCTGTGGGGAGAGAAGATCCTCTCTAAGAATAGCACCATAACAGTGTCTTTAATCCCACGGTTAAAGATTACTTAACCATAAAGTCTCAGTAGTTGGAGGCTGCTTAGGGGCAGGATAAATTTAGACTAGGATTTTAAATACATCGTGCCTCTATCTGGTATTATGATTTTGGCCCAATTAAACCAAAGAGTTTATTGAATAAGACAGTCCCCCATTAAGGAAGCCAATTTCTGCCTCAAAGTAAAACACGAGAAGGTAAATGTTAGATCATTTTGGATAAGTATATAAGTATTAACTTTGTGACTGCTAAAAAAAAAGTATGAATGAGTGTGGTATGAACGTTATCTGGACATTCGCCATGTTGTCATTATCATGTGACCTACCAGCGTCTGTTACGTCGCTTCACTGCCATTCATAAATCCTCTCCCGTGGCCTCATGGGACAGTAAAGTTTCCATCATATGCACACTTCAGAATCTCCCCGGAAGTAGTAGGTCATCCAGGTACTTTTAGCCTACTCTTTTATGAGTACTGTGAATTCGGACATCTTTTGTCACATACTGTTTTTTGCCTAGGATTTCTCCTTTGATTTCTGATGCAGACTCTTACTTCAGGAATAATAATAAAAAAACGAAACACAAAAGTGATGTTTATCTTTATCATTTTTGCTTATTAGTGTGGTTGAATTGGATCGTCGGAGGTCAGCAGGAAATGCCGTAGTGAATAAAGTGAGATTAAATACATAAAGTATATTTGAGTAAATTACTTACTTTAGTTACTTGAAAATGTAATCTGATTACGTAACTAGTGTTACTTGTAATGCATCACCCTCAACACTGGTCACAGTTGTTGGATATAGTCACATTGTGAATTTATGCCAATGTGAGATATATGAGTAATGATTGTGAAATATAAAGTCACAAGTTTGAGATGTAAATTATTATTGTGTGTGATATAAAGTATTAATTGTGCGATTCAAAAATCAGTTGTGAATTTAAAGTCACATTTGGAAAATGTAATTTACAATGTGAGATAAAGTCACAATTGTGGTATAAAGTCACAAGTGTGAGATTTAAAGTCACATTGGGAGAAATAAAGAGGAATAAAGTTACAATTGTGAGATTTAAGTCACAAGTCATTTAAGTCACTGACATTATAATTCACAGAAAATCTACAAAACATGTATCTACAGCTGTATGATGTGCTAATTTTGCTTATTTCAGGGTTTCAACATTAAAAGTGTGACCTGTGATAGCATGAAGCTGAATGTGTGGGACATTGGAGGACAGAGGAAGATTCGACCATTCTGGAAAAAGTACCTGGAGAACACAGATTTATTGGTATGACAGCGATGCTCAAGGGGGGAAATTCTCAAGTTAGCATTTTGTGAGAGTATTTACAGTCGCATTTGTAATTAGATTCTATTTTGTGCATCTGTCAAAAAAAAAAATCTCTTTAATAGTTCTCATTCTTTTCTTTTTTTTTAGATCTACGTGATTGACAGTGCAGACAAGAAGAGATTTGAGGAAACAGGACTGGTAAGACTAGACAGAATCAATCTGTGACAATCACAGCTTCTCATTTTTTTCCTGAAAAGCATTTTGTCCAAAATTGTGTTTACTTGTAATGTGCACAGGCTGGATATGTTTTGTCTCGAGGCTCAATTGAAGCAGCCTTCAGCACAAATAAAATAAAAAAAGATCCTATATATATGGATTAGATGAACTAAATCAGATTAACCTTTCTGTCCCTTAAGACAATTTCCCAGAAGAAATGTTTTAAAAACAATCTTTCTAGTTTCAAACAATACATGTTAATGGCTTTAAACTTTTTATTGTGTATCCTTAATTAGTTCCTCATTTTGAAGAGTGAAGAAATGCATTATTTGCTGGAGTTGCATTATTTTGGGCTTGATCCCTAACCAGATTTTAACTTCCCATCTATAAAAAATATACCACAAGTGTTACAATCAGGGGAATTTGACATCATTTTACATTTTACATTAATTTGGTATTGTGTAAACAACAAGCATTACAGAGAACAATGTATTTGGTTATGGTGGAAATGAGAAGTGAAATATGAACACATTTGTATCATGCCAGACAGTCTGAAGTTTAAAATGTTTATTTTAAGATAAACTATTAATATTATATTATATTAAATATAGTTTGAAGAATCTGAATTTAACCCTTAAACGCATACCTCTGTGCTTTAGTGACCCGGGACGTCATTCACTACCCTCCTCCACATTCATTTTTTAACAATCAACCTCCAAAGTATTCCTTGATCAATTCATTATAAACAATATAACAAGATTTTATAATAATAAAATTGTAAAAGAATGCCTGTTTTCCCATTCATTTTTTGTAAAGATTGTATAGGGTCGCTTACGACCCAAGGTGTGTAACAGACAGTGTAAGTATATTTTTTTCTGCACAACAATAATTGAATATTTGATGACTGAATAAGTGCAATTCACCTTTATTCCACAAGGTGGCAATGTCTGATACAAAATGATGAAGTGACGTTTCACTCATAGTTACCGCAGGCAGAAAACAAAAGAACAGGAAGAATCATCAGCAAAACTTGAAATGGCTCAGTGATTTACTGCAGAGCAAATACTAAACGCAATCAAATATTAGTGTCACTGTCACTTGACGGTGAATCTGATGAAGAAGCTGTCAGTGATGAAAATATTGATTTTGAAAATGTTGAAAATAATAGTTTGAGATTGATCATTTAAGCCAGATGCTGAATGTACTGGGAAATGAGCTCTGACGAGAACAGTGGTGATGCTGTAAAACATCTGCTCAAACTAAACACTTCCAAGCTCCAAAAGTTAACAAAATATGCTTTATTTTATTCTTCTGTAATTGTTACTTTAATATCAGGAGAGTTCTATATTATCGCGACAGCTAGAGATCCATTCGTGTTAGATATAGATCCGTGTCGCTAAAGACCCGAATATGTAATAATGATTGGAGAAACATTCATGCGTTTAAGGGTTAAGATTCCAGGTAGCAAAAGGTCCTCACTCCTACAATGATCAAAATTCACTGTATGAAAACTATGTACCACTCTGATGATGAATACAGTGTCTTTCCAGTTTGTACATTAGGGGTCCTATAGCTCAACTGATAAGTCTAAGTGTTACCAATGCCATGATCTTTGGTTCAGTCCTTAGGGGACACAAAAAATCTATAATGTGAACACACTGTAAGTGTAAATCACTCTGGATTAAATTATATACAAATAATACATGAATCGGGATTGACCGTATGCTAACCTCTATTTGGTGCTGACTCCTCTCGACGACTCTGTGTTGACCTTCTTCCACAGGAGCTGTCGGAGCTCACCGATGAGGACAACCTGAGGGGTGTGCCATTGCTCATCTTTGCCAATAAACAGGACCTGGCCACAGCTTCCCCTGCCAGTGAGATCGCAGAGGGCCTCAACCTGCACACATACCGGGACAGAGAGTGGCAGATCCAGGCCTGTTCTGCCGTATCTGGGGAAGGTGTACAGGTTTGTATAGTGAATTTTAATTTGTATCAGCTTTTTAATTAAACCTTTGAAACATACATATATACCCATGATTAGACATTAATTCATTATTTTGTCTCTCAGGATGGCATGAACTGGATCAGCAACAATATTGTAAATAAGAAGAAATGAATCTGCTTTCTCCCAAGTGTTATTTTGTACAATTGCTCTAATACTTCTGTTAATGTAAACCACATATAAAATATTTACTTTGGAAAACTCTTTTTGTAATACAAATTTCTGACATGAAACTCTAGATGGTGCAGGCTGATAGGTCCTTAACTTATTTGGTAGCAATTGCATCGTCATCTACATAGCGCAGCTGATTGGTTGCTGTTGCATCAGTGGTCAATGAGCTGTGCCTCAACATTCAAATACTGGTAGTGTTGCTGTTAGCAGTGTGCAGTGCGCTTTCAGAAACCCTCCTCCTTCCCCAGCTCCACCTGTATAGATCTGCTACGGGGGGTTATTTTATGTATGTTACATGTGCAGCAACAGCATGTCTTACATGCTCACAGCAATGTCTGTGAATGTATTGGCAGTAGCAAGTCTGGGTACTTGCTCTGCAGCAGTGTAGATCTATTCCGCCAAGACCAAATGCATTAACATTGCCATATCCGTGACCATTACCATGCCAATCTCTCTGAGAGTTGTCATGACAGAAATAATATTAATGATCTTTCTTCCCGTTTGTAAATTAGCTGCCTAAAGAGACAAAGGAAGACAACAAAACAAATCATTTTCCCCCTCTCTCATCTCTTATGCTCTTACAGAGTGTTTTTGTTTGACAAGACGAGTTTCATTACAACCTTTTAATCAAGATGTTGCCGTTACATTTTTGAGGGATATGACATACCAGGGCATAAGTAATGCACACAAGCAAGATTTTCAGCTTAAAATAAGGATGAAGCATTCATGTATCTATCACAAATATATATAGTCTTCTTCAGCTGTTTTGATAGTTGTCACACCAAAGAATTATCTGAAACTGAGCAAAACTCTTGTACTTTGTAAGGTGATATGCGAAACCCATGTTTGTTTGTTTTTTGTCGCAGTATGACTGGATTTGGTAGTTTCTATATGATTACCATGTGTGGGCATAATGTGTATGATTATGTGAAATGAAATTGTGACTACATTTTCTAGTAGTTTAAGATTATGACTTGAAATCTAATTCAAACAAGATCCTGGAGTAGTCATGTTGGTTTTATCCACGTTTTCCAACCTTTTTGGAAGATCTAAAATAGACATTCAAGCAATAACATACAAGCAGCTGTTGTTCTGAATAACATGTAATCACAGCCATGGTGATGCTGGAATCAACAATAAGTTTGTGTGTGTGATAATTGCTTTTGTACAGCACATTAATAAACAGGAAGTTAATAATGAATAACTTACATTTTAGATGCAATATTACTAGTTGCTTTGTTTTGCTAGTCCAGGTCCACCTCTGTAGACCTGATTCGTGGAGTTATGTTTAATGATTATGGGTAGGGGTGGGTGTGGCTAGACCTTCAAGCTCCACCCACATCCTCAAAGTAAGTTCAAATACAAACAACTTTTTTTTTTTTACATACATGCTTTTGTTCTGTGTACCTCATATCAGCCAGCTGTGTAAAAGTATATCTGCACTTTTATAAGGACATAAGAGCATGTGATTTTTTTTTTTTTTTTTTGCATATATGTGGCTTCGGTTGTTATGAAAGTTATAATGAAAGTTATTGATGATTCAAGATTTGTTCGTGAAAACATTCATACTCAGATATCAAACAAATTTGTGCATACACACGATTAGTGAATGAGATCCAGTGTCTCTAAAACTTTTTGTATGGAATTTGGCTGGACTGATATTATATTATTCATAGCATATTTGATAGCACGTACAACAAAGTGCTGCAGTGATTATGGTTGTAGGCCAACCCGGAAGTTAGCATCACCCTGGTTCCCTTGACAAAACCAATAGCATTTTTCCATTGGCTTTTGGATTATTGGCGAAAACTAGATTTGTGACCAACAAAATTTTGATTTTTACATGTTTTTTTTTTCTCCAGGATAATCTTCACAACTTTGAAGCTAAATACAATCACCAGAAATACAGTAAATAGCTAAGCGTAGACTAAATTAACTACATCACGGTCATATGACTTCAACAACACAACCATTACGCTTCCAACTTTTTCAGTCTCAACTAAAAAAATAAAAAAAATTCCCCTGAAAGTTTGGATTAGAATAGTTTAGCAAGAGCTCAATTACGAGGCTGGGAAAATGGATTAATGAGTATTTTACCTGTTCGGCGTGATGCTGTTTAATGTCGCCAACAACCTCTGTAGTTCCAATTTAGCCACTTGTTAGCAATCGCCTTTAGGACAAGTGAAAGCACAGGGGTGGATTACTTATGTTGTAGAATAAAACGTGAAAATATCTTGAGCTTGTGTAAACCACAGACCTTATTTCAGACATTCAACCAAAAACCCATTAAAAAAATCGACTTCTGGACAAAAAAAACTGTTTCTGGGTTTTGGCCTAAAAATATATGTCATCCCTGCAGCAGTCTATTTAGACAAACACTAAAAAACGGGGTCACAATTTAGATTAGGGTCCAATTCTAACTATTAACTATGACTTTTAGCTCAATAAACTCTTAATTACTGCTTTTTAATAGTTAGTAAGGTAGTTGTTAAGTTTAGGTATAGGGTAGAAATTGGGTGGGATTTTTAAGGATGTAGAATATGGTCATATAGAATAAGGCATAGTAGGCCTACTAATAAACAGCCAATATACTAATAATATGCATGAATTAATAGTGAGAATTGGACCCTAAACTTAAGTGTTACCAAAAATTGAAGTCCCTTCTCAGGCCCATGGCATCCCTTCAGCAAAAGGTGTTGAACCCCAGAGGCAGACAGACTTGGGCATGACTCAGAGTCTTGCCTTCCTCCCCGGTCACTGGTCTGAACGCTTGGAGTTATGGCCAGTGGATCAAATTTTCATTAGTGTGGATGCTGAAGCTCTACCGTGCTAATCCATGCCCATTAGATACACACTTCACTTGCTATAATAAGACAGTGATCTAACCAGGGCAAAAAAGAAGGTCCACGGTGTATCTGACACACAAGCGTTTCTACCTCGGGACAGCATACATCATAGACTGGCATCAGAGCAAAAACAGGATTTTAAAATTGGTAAGTTTTGCTATAATGAGAGGATTCGTTTGTTCCGTGATCTATGCGACTCAGTTTAAACAAGAGTTTTCAGGCATGATTTGAGATCAAAGGAGTACATATGAATATCACAATGAAAGGATAAAAATCAGATTCATTTTAGTGGGGAAGAATCTCAAAATAAATGATTCTTCTGGGCTGATTTTATTGAAGACTGGACACTATTAATATCATCATGCCTGTGCCATACACTGACGTATCTAAGGAGAAAGATCAACAGGAGCTGTGCTCGGACACAGATGGAGGTAAGATACATCAGAAGCAAGAAAAAAACAAAAGCGGAGTTTCTTCAAACAGCATGCCTCAATCTCATCTCAATGGATATGATTGATTCAATGAAAGTAGCTTGAAAGCAACAGCACTATGACGTGTGGGAAAAGAATCAAAACAGTAAAGTGAAAACGGAGCCAAATTTTCACTTTCTTCTCTGGCATGTCTCAACTGCTTTGACTCGGTTCCCAAAACAGTAAGGGTGTTTGTAATGTAATTTGACAGCCGGAGACTAAATGCTTTACTCCAAGAGATCATGACTCATCCACGCCTGATTGGGAAAGATCTGAACCCTCTTAAACATTACAGGACAAACAGCAGGCTGAGGTTACACCCAGACGCCTGTGTCAAATTTAATGATTTAATCAGCCGCACATATTGTGCTCATGCTTGGAGATACTTTTGCTGACATTAAGTATGAATGATTTCACAGTATTAAAGCAAACCTCTGAATGTCTATGAAAAATAACCTTTTTCATTAACATTTAAATGTGATGTAATTACTAGTTTATAACATTCTAATGTGGTTTCATAACGGATCGTAGTTCTGTGATTAATATAACATGCGTTTCAATATATCTGTGCATGTAAATCAGCATGTCTGAACCTGGGAAAGAAGATCAGTGTTCCTCAGGATCTGATGATGGAGGAGCTCAATCTACTGTCAAACAGAGGATCCATAATGTTTCACGAGAGACTCAAAAGAGTGGAGAGATTCACCTTGGAGAATATAGCAAACAGACACATCAATGTAAGATATCTTACTGTGTTCACAAGGTTAAAGTCAACATGAAATCAGAATGGGCCCTATTTACTTAAAGGAATATTCCTGGTTCAATACGGTTTACATTTATGAACTTGGTCCCAATGTTAACCAATAGTCAAATAGCTATGTTATTATTTGAGTGTAATGTGAATAATCAAATATTATTTCTATGCGGAATAACTTTAAGATTGCGGCAATAATAACAAATAATATATTTGAATAAATCATGTTACATTTGGGACCATCTTGAGGGTGACCTACAGCCTCCACGTCAAAAAGCCTCCTTAAAATTTTCAGGAGGAAACTCCACAATCAACTGCAAACTCACATTTAGGTCCGGCTCCATTCTGGTATGCAATGCCCACTTTTCATGATCCAATCAATCCCTTATGGAGAAAATCACACCCTGCCCCATTTTCTTCTCATTGAATATCCAGTTTCACTCAGAATTGCGAGAGTTTAACTTTACAGAAGTAAAATGTGTTGTGAAAACTATTTGAATGTGAGACCAGGGGTGTCCAATCCTGCTCCTGGAGGGCCAACTTCCTGAAGAGTTTATCTCCAACCTGCTGCCTGGACGTTTCTAGTCGCCCTGAAGACTTTGATTAGCTAGTTTAGGAGTTTAAACCGTTAAGACATAACAGGATTGGAGACCCTGAGGTAAACTTAAGATGTTTACAAAGGTAAACCAACTAGGAAATAACTGGAGGACCACCTTCCAGGAGCATTTAGCTCTAGCCCCAACTAAACACACCAGAACCAGTTAATCAATGTCTTCAGGATGACTAGAAACTTCAAGGCAGCAGGTGTTTTGGAGCTAAACTCCTCAGGCCCTCCAGGAGAAAGTATTAGACACCCCTGAGGTAACTATTAATCCCATACTCATAAAAATAAAGGACCCTAAAAGAGGGTTCTAAAACCCTCTTTTAGAAACTTTATTTTTAAGAATGAGGTTCAGAAATAATGGATGATGTTTTAACACTATACCTAGCACTTAGAGGCAAGCCTTCAAGGTCAGAAAGACAAACAAGGAGAGAAAGGCGGCGAGTACTTCACCTCTGAAATCTACATCACCCAGCCTGGAAAAAATAACCTGGTCACCGCACTCAAGAGCACAGTCGCTAAGAAAGGAAACCCAAGCTTGCTTGCACCTGGTAAATACATGACCAATGTGTATCTTTAATTCTGTACGAGTATATCGAGTTCAATGGTGTACCCAAAGTCAAGGGAAACACACATTTCTTTCACACAGGTTATGGGGGGCACCTGAAAGAGGTTCCTCCTGAAAAGTTCAATGTCACTGTGATCCCCAAGTCTTACCATACTCCCTGGGAGGAAAAGCCCATTGACAGAGAAAAACTTTTGGCTACTATAAGTACCAGCCTTCCTGAACCACCTTACAAACTCACCCCAGCCAACTACAAATGCTTCAACAGGTACCCATTGTAACCCATTGAACCCATTAAGCACAACTACTGGCATCCTCATTAGTAAATTCAGCATTAAGTAAATTAAAGTAAAACTTTGTTTTATTTACTTTCTAAACATAGGTTTCTGGTCTTATTGTAAATGCTTCACATAATAATAATAATAATAAAAAAATCGGTTATGTAATCTTTGATGAATGTTTTGCTGATGTCACAAGCTACTGAATAATGTTAACATAGCTAGTTAGCTATATTTTCCAGTTGAAAATAGTTTCATTTGGCCATAAGATTATGGAAGTAAAATGGGTTTCAAACAGCAATAGAGTGCAAAAGTGTCTGCCCACTTTTTTAATTGCCTTGGTTTTGAAAGTATTTCTCCCAATAATTCCCCCCTGCCAAAGGTATCTTTAAAAAGTCTTTAAGAGTTATAAGCCATATGAACCAAACCAACCAGCTATGTGGAGAATCACAACATAAAAACTTTTATTTACAGCTAAAGTAGAAATCGGACAAAAAGGCAAAGGTACAAGACTGTGCACTTAATGGCTTCTTAGCATGTCCACTCGTCTGTTAAGAAAAATCGGATAATTTTGAATAATAATTGTTCTTTACAGAGCTCCTACACCGTTTGGTGGGACAGCAGGTACGGCGAGGACTCTGCCGCTACCTGGCTTTGAGATGCTGCAGGCTCACACAGAGCCACACCTAACCTGGGACAGGATGTGCCACCGGCCCAATTTCAACCGTACGCCACGGGGCTGGAGAACCCAGTACGTTATAGAGTCTCCGGATTTGTGAATCTGGTGAATTTTGTCAAAATATAAGTGAGGACTACGTTTCTGAGGGATGCTTAAGACGCCACTGTGAATTGTGAGCTGAGCCATCAAATACCAATTTAACGTTTACATACATTACCTGTTATTATGCTATGATACGGTTTACGTAAACATTCACACAGTATTTCAAAATGTGAAGCATCTTTAATGTAAGCACAAACAGACAGCTGTACATTAAAAAAAGTCTTAAAAACAATTCGGGATGATACACTTCATTCTTTATATTTAGACGACAAGAAATGGACACTAGTGGGAACTGTAATATGAACAATGGAATATTCTAGAGGTGTAGGACAATACAGTGTCAAAAACAAAAATGGAGATGTCAGGCATTTGAAATAGTCAATAGTGCCCCCATTTGGTAATTGTTGGTCACTGCAACCAATTCTTTGCCATTTGGCCCTAGAAAAGGCATCTCTGTTTCATCACGGGTCATTATAAAATAAAAGCTTAAAAAGAAAAGTTTTTCTCTCATGGTTTAAATTCTAATGTTTTCAGTATGCATTTGCATTCCATCTTACTCACTTGCTCTGAAAATGAGTGACATAAACATTCCAAAAAATGAGAGCAGAGATGACATCACTCTGGGTTCAGTTGTTCAGTGGACCTCACTGAACAGTGAGGTAAGCTGTATGACTATCTAGGGGCCTCCATGGCGACTTGCATGAGCGCCCATCCGCTGAGGATCCTGGGATGGGTAGTGGACCTGTCCAGGGGGCCTCATGCCCATTGGCGGAGGCATTGAAGGGGCCATGGGATCCATGGTGTGGAACATAGGAGGACCAAAACCTGGAGAGAACAGATGAGGTTAATGGGGATAAGTGAAGCGCTTCATCTTGGATTACTAACAGGCCAAAAAACGAGGAAGGGGGAAGTGAGTGGGGCGAAGCTTACCAGGTGGTGGGGGCATGGCAACCCCAGGTGGAGGAGGAAGTCCCAGGTTCATGACAGCAGGGGAGCTGGTTGGAGGCAGGTTGAAGTAATTGGTGGAGGCATCTTCGTCAGATACAGGGGGTGGAGGAAGAGCTATTGAAAAGATATTTGACAAAGGAAAAATTCACACACTGCTTCAACTTAAGCAATATAGAGTGGCCCCCAATTTATTTAGGAATAATCTTAAAGTACAATTTAATTTACTAGAGTGACAAGTCAATCTATATATATATATATATATATATATATATATATATATATATATATATATATATATATATATATATATATATATATATATATAAAATATATATATATATAATAAAATACATACTGTTCAACAATGAATAAATTTTAAAATAATTTAAATAAAGCAGTACATTTAATCTTAGTTTTATTTTAATTACTAAATCATCACTTTAAATTTAATTTACTAGTGTGACAGGTCAAGCTCCAAAATAAATAAAATAAATACATAAATAATTTAAAAGCAATCAATACAATTCACAATAAGTAAATAAAAATAAATGAATTAAAAAAATACATTTTATCAGTATTAATATTAAATTATCATTGTATTTAATTTACTAGTGAAAGGTCTAAATACAAAAAATAATAATAATGATTTAAAAGCAATCCATTCAATTCATCAAATAAATGGATAAAAATAAAATACATTTATAAGCAGTGCATTTAATCATACTTTTATTTTTAATTTATTATTAAATTATTGTACATTTATATAATTTACTAGTGTGACTGACAGGTCAAGCTCCAAAAATAAATAAAATAAATGAATTAATACCATGCATACATTTCAGTCAGAACCACTGACATAAACTCATATTATTTTACTAAAACATATGCATGAGAGACTTTGGCACATACCACCAGGGAGCCCTGGCACTGGTTCCAGACGGATTCCACTCTCCGTCACCCCATCCTTCTCTTTCCCTCGAGCCGCCTGTGACCTAAACGACACACAGCAACATTCAGTACCGCCACCACATACATGAGTCTGGGTGATTTTCAGGTTATTGCACAATCAGTCACCGACCTGCCCCATTTAACATTGAGCCGGCGTCCATTAATGATGAGTTTATTAAAGGACTTCTCTGCAGCCGTCTCTGCGGCCTGCCGTGTGGCGAACTGGATGAAAGCACACTGCTGCCTTTGAACAATGGTGATGGTACGAATCTCCCCAAACTGGTAGAAGTGATTCCTTTGTGGGAAAAAAGAAAACTGGAATCTTTAATCAAGAAATGACACAGAAGAGAAAAAGGATAGGATTTTTTGGCCTCAACATAATATAAAATAAAACAGCACATTAGTAAAATAATAATACTCTTTAAAATGGTTCCTAAATAAATTACATTTTGTTAAATTCCCCCTGTGGTGAAAATCAAGCTTTTGTTGCAAATTGCAATGTTGTTAATATCTCTATGTGGTGTTTTTAATGTGCTTTAAAGGGTCATGAAACCCTAAACCAAATTTTCTGAGATTTTATCAGAGGTATGTGTGTTGAACACCATTGAAGACAATGTTCGCATCTGTTAGATTTAATAGTTGGGTGAAAATGGTTAAATTTTAGTTTCTTTCCGCTATTTTCGTCTTCCGGGTTTAAAATCTTCATCGCAGGCTGTGACGTGGCAGAGCACAGTATAGTGCGTTGATGACTCATCGGTGTCTCATAATTATTAATGAGACTGAGTTTTCATATCCTATGAGAAGACACTGTCTCTTAATTATTCATGACACCACGTGGATCTTTCCAGTGACATGTCAAACTGTGATATCGCGTAGTAGATGAGAGAGGCAATAATGGGACGCAAGTGTTTGTTTTTGTGGTGCAAAAGTCCAATTGGGTTGAATGTGTTTCCCCGCGATGCTGCCCGGGCTAGACTCTGGCTCTGGGCGGTTGGTTTTCCATCAACCACGGACACATCTAAACGTGTGTGTGCCGCAAACATTTTTGAGCTTCGAGAATTGGAGAATGGTGGACTTCGCCTTGTTGATAACCAATGCAGGTTGCGTCTTGCGAGTGATGCGGTACCAAGTCCCGAGGACTTTTCTATCCCTTCAGAAGTGTGTGTGTGTGTGTGTGTGTGTCTAAAATGAGAAGTCATCCACCTCCACAGAGCCATCTTTATTATGGGGGTTCAGGGGGCGCGTAGATCTAGGCTATGCACGGAACGTTTTTTTAAACGGAAAATTAATAATTTTCAAATATATAGTGTCTATAAACAACTATATATTTTATAATGACATTATAATTATACATGTAGCCTACATTAATATGTTCTCAATAGAGTTACGATTACTGTAGGCTAATATAGCAGGGCATTCAGTTACTTTTGAAAGGACAATAATAAAGTGTCGTATTTAATAAGACTTTAACTTTGCCAGCTATAAAAAAAACCTAGCATTACCACTGCTTTTAGTGACAGTCGATATGCATGGGATACTGGCGATGACAGTGATGGCCTTACCCTTCTCACAGCCATCCACGCCCATTTAAGTTGCATTTTTCAAAAAGATTGTGAGCTAGACTTGAGCTGAAAGAGGGGGGTTTCATGACCCTTTAAGACAAACCATGTGCAAATTCATTCAAAGTCAACACCATTGCTGAGAATTTTCTCCTTAAAACTGCAAAAAAAAAAAAAAAAAATCACATCAACGAGTGGATCTTTGAGCTGGTGCGAGTGAGTGGAGGCGGGGCTCATTTGCATATTCATAGAACCGAGTATACTAAATTAGGCAAGAGTGTAGAGTTACATTCAAGCTATTTTAAGGCAAGACGAATTTTTGTTTTTCAAGGAAAAAACATTTAAATATGTAATTTTGGTGATCAAAGAAGTTTTTAGGAATAAAATTATTGACTACATTAGGACTTTAATTATTTTACAATTATCCATGCAGCTTTAGATTGATCATGTGAGACACTAAATTAAAAATTCATGGTAACACTATTTTGATGGTCCCTTGTGAACATTCTGTTGACTAAGTAACTTTGCAACTACATGTCAATGAACTCTCATTAGAGTATTGGAAGACTGTCTGCTGAATATCTGCTAACTCTTTATTGTGATGCTCCTCCAACAGACATTATACTGACTATAAGTAACTTTGCAAGAACATGTCAACCTATTCTACTAACCCGAATCCTACCAGTCTGCTTGAAATCTACTAACGATCTAATGAGAGTTAGTAGACATGTATGTGCAACACTAATTATAGTCAACAGAATGTGTTAAAGGGACCATCAGAATAAAGTCAAATTAAATTCATTAAAGGTTCTCTAAGCGATCCTGGGTGACGTCACTTCTTGTTGACGTTCGAACTATTGTCAAACAAAACGGAGGCTAGCTAGACCCTCCCTCCTCCTCATCCGCACACTAACCCCCCAAACCACACCCCCAAACCCTTCTTGTCGGTCATTGGCTGGAACAGTTTGTTATGTTTTGGGGAGCGGGTCGCTGCAGTTTGTTTTTGGTGCTGTTTGTGAAGCATGGGCTGTCTACAGAGATCGCGTTTCTTTACAGTGTGTTCAGGGGACAGGCAGCCAGCGGATAGTGAGGAGATGTTTGCTGTATGTGACAAAAAATGTTTTGGCCTAAAAAACACATGACATCGCTTAGAGCACCTTTAACTAATAAAGGCAAAAGAAATATCATTAAAAACTTGAAAGGGAGACCAGTTACAGGATACTTTCTGTTTGCCGATTAAGATTGCAATTTATTTTACAGACCTGTTCCCCATGTACATCCTACGTACTTATCATAATATTTGCAATAATTGGGTAACAACTAGGTACTGTCCCTGGACCTACCTCTAAACCTAACCTTAACCCATGTGGTTACCTTATATTACCAGTACTTTCTTAGGCAAGTACACGTACTGTAAAATAAAAAAAGCCCATGTGCAAGTTGCGTGTCAACTAACCAAATATAGCTTTAAGAGCTCTAAAGTGCACTTACCTGAGCTCAGAATCAGTAACGTTTTCTCCCAGCCCCCCAATATACAGCGTGGTGATGGACTTGTCCTCAGGTACGTCCAGTCTGGGCATAGTGGAGGCCCGCTTCAAGAGTT